TTTTATTATTTATTTTGTTTTTTTTTTGCTTTAACCCCGCCTAATACTCTTGCAGATGACCTATTATCCGAAAAGGAAAAGTGCAAGCTGCTAGCTGACGAAATGGAAGCCACCCTGAATGACATCCAGAACATGTAGAAATCTACCTGATGCATATGTGTTTCTTTAATTACATACAACATCCTCTCTTTTTTTTTCCTCCTCTTCCTCAACTTTTCTTCCCTCCAAAAAAAAAAACCGCAACCCCGTTTTACTATTTACCACGCATTTCGTTTTCCCACCACGTAACATAAAAAGAAAACCCATGATGATGTCAACAACAAAAAAAAGAATTATATTTATATCCAACCCCAATTATTTTATATTACTTGGAGTAATCGAAAAGCAAGAACGAAACGAAAACCGAAGCGAGACGACGAGACGAGACGACGATACATTTATACTTCTTCCTCCTCATTCCAAGAACATTTTTCTTCTACTTCGATCGACCACATTCGGAACGAGCACATTCCTACACATATTATTATTATTTTTTTTTATAAAACACTAATCAAATTTTGTTTTTTGATGTTGTTGTTACTTTGTTGTATTAACGCATATTTTTTGTTTTTTTTGGTGTGAATTGCTTACTTGATTATTTTTTTTTCGCGTCCAAATCGTTTAAAAGAAAAACATTAGATTAACGCATATATCTATTGTTTTTTCTTCTTCTTCTAAGGTGCTTATTTTTTTCTTTCATTAAGTCTAGAGAACGATTATATAAATAATTCAATTTTTTTTGTCTCCTCTCATCACTGAAATCGATGTTGTTGTTGTTACTCAAGATTTTGTTCCAAAAACAAAAAGGAAACAAAGGCACAATAAATGAAAGTATTTAGAACATTCCGCGCGAAATTCAAACTTGTTTCGGTGATTATTACTTACTCGTAGATAGGAATTCAATTAATTTAATTTCAACCCTCCCTCCTCTTTATTATTATTATTTTTTTTTCTTTGAATAAACACGTAACGTTTATTTATTACACTTTTTTTTTCTTTCTTCGAATTACATAAACACGTACGTCGGGTCAGGGCGAATTCGGATCTTTGTTCGTCCTTCAATCCTCTGCCGCCAATCAAGATCCAACACTGCCATGCACTTTATCAAAACAAAAAAAAGATAGTCATGATCTTCATTTTTTTTTAATTAATTAATTAATATTATTATTATAACATTGCGGCAGGATCGAAGGACGTATTTTGTCTTCTTCATTTGTTCGTTGTGCGATTGTTTTTTCTCTCACGGGACCGGACTAAATGTTGCTACTACTACTACTCCACTCAAACAAAAACAAAAAACCCTTAAAAATCCGTTTGTTCTTGTGCTATAAAAAAAATATAATGGATGATCGTTTCTTCCTTCTCTGCTCTTCATACTTTTTTTTTCTTCATTTTTTTTGTTTGTTTCGTTTGTTTCATATACGAGAGACAATGGAATATAATACTTATTAATATCAGTTAGGATGCACGAAGGAAAAATTTATCGAAAAAAAAAGAAAAACAATCAATTTATAACAACCGCTATTATTATTATATTACTATATATTATTATTATTATTTTTTTTTAATTTTATTTTTCCTTCGATATTATTTTTTTTTTCGATTAATTTATATTTGTATTATAATTATAAATAAATAATTATTGAACGTTTAGTCCAGCTTTCGACACCTACCTTCTCTTTTTTCTATACATTTATATAAACAAAAGAAAGAAAAAAAAACAACAATATCTTTTGTCTTTCTTGCTAAATTCATTATTATTACTACTATTATTTACTTGGAAGATGAATATACATAGTATTATATATTTTTTATTAGTCCTGTTTATATAATTATTATTATTATTGTAATTTTTAACTGAAACTAATTATAGTTTATATATAAATATTTTAATTTCCACTTTATTTCAACTGAAACACTTTTAGAGAAACACATATTATTTCTTGCATGGTTTTTATTATTGATGTGCGTGATTTTGCTTTTGGCCCATTAATCAAACTAAAGTGAGTATTTTTTTTTTAATTTTCTGAAATAATTGAGTACACTTTACATCATTTTTGTTGTATCGTTGCAATCTACAAAACGAAAGTTCGACATACGCGATCATAATGCAACGGTTTACATAGATTACGCAAATTCCACTAAATATAGAGCTCAATTGGATTATGCCCTACAAATTGAAAGTTTGCCATATGCGATAACAACGCTTTAGTTCACATAGATAATTAATCGGAATTATTTGCTTTAAAACAAATGAATCTTATGGTTTAACTTGATTATTATATAAAAAAAAACTGAGAAATCCGTGTATATAAAGTGTACTTAAATTATTATATATTTTTTTTTAAATATTAATTTAGCTTTTAATTTCGACGATTTTATTTATATTTCCCGCGAATTTTCGACTTCATTATTATAATCTTTAGTTTAAGTTGGTATTATTTTGACGACTCTGTAAGAAATTTGATACTTTGATACTAAGTTTTGTTGTTGTTGTTGTGGAATTTGTAAACAATTTTTGAATTAACTTAACTTTAAATTAAGTTCAGATCAATTTTGTCAACGAGAATCATGTATCAAAGTTTTTAATATTGATAATGACAGCTGTCAATAGTGACATTAGTAATATTGTTTTTTCTTTGTTGTCAACAAATATCATTGTCAAATATGTCATGAATTTTTCTTAACTGTCATTAAGTTCAGATCACCTTTAAATAATTGGAAACGTCAAATTTATCGAAATGTCATCTTTTGTTACGTCACATGCATACATTGTGTATTAACGCAATAAGTATCAAAGTTGGTCTTTGATAAGATTTTGACAAATGGACAAAATATCAAATTTCTTAGAGTTGAAGCGATTTTCTATGATTTCTTTTCTTATAATTTCGTTTTATTTATTTCTTTCTTTGCTCGCACACAGACGACCTCGTCGCCGAGAAGGAACGTTACAAGGAGATTGGAGACGATTTGGACACCGCCTTCGTCGAACTCATCTTGTAAACGAACCAAAAAAAAACCAAACCAAACAACACCCACCATCCTCTTGTTATATTTGTCAGACGTGTTCTTTATTTTCTTTAATTTATTTATATTTATTAACCGGCCCATGACCGTCTCGATTAGAGATGATGCTTGGACTTGAGGGGAATCCCCGGACAAAGTGACGATGCACACGAATGCGCTTGCAAATGGTTTCTCAGCGACTCAAAAGAACAAAGAACACCACTTTACAATCACAAATAAAAAACCCAAGCGATTCTCTCGTGTCCAGAGATTCCAATAACAAAAAAAAATATACTTTAATCAACGTAATTTTTAATCCAAAAACTGATCTATATTTTATGTAAATACATATTTTCAAAGAATATATTCACCAAAAAAAAAGTTACTATTTTATTCAACCTTGAATCATTCAAAACTAACAGTAACTAATGTAACTCTTAAACCTATGTTTTTTTCCTCGTACTAACATTTAACACTTCTTCTTGTAGATGATCTGCTTCAAGAGAAGAACAATTACAAGGCCATCGCTGATGAAATGAACCAAACCATGGCGGATCTGGCCGGATATTAATCAAAGAGAATTCCACTATTTATATATATATATAAATTTTCTGTTCTTAAGACAAAAAAAAAACATATTTTTACTGCCCGATGGAAACCAAAAACAAAAAAAGTTATTATCTTACATTCCGAATGGAAATTGTGTGTTCAAAGAAAAGAATCTAGTAGCTTCATCGATATGAATTCATTTATTTCCTGAAGCAACTCGAAATCCAATATTCTCACAAATTGGATACGAGGGATTTACTTTTAGAATTTTGAGATATTTTATGGATATTTTAGGCGAAACAAATTTTCACTGTGATTTAGATTTGGGGGGAGGGTTTTTTTTTTCATAAGATATTTAGAAATTTTCAAATTTAGCTTTCGATGACCTCTTTAGCTTCTACAAAGATTTAACAAATCAGATTTTTTATACACCGATCATTACAAAAATAAGCACAGTTAAAAAGAATCTATTTATCATTAGTAATATCGTCTTTGTCCTCAATTTTATAAACAATGATTCACAATAAGGAAAGTAATGACAGCTGTCAATTGTGACATTATCAATATTGTGTTTGTCAAGAAACAATGACAGCTGTCAATAGTGACATTAGTAATATTGTTTGTTGTGTCAACAAATATCATTGGTGACAGTTGTCAATTGTGATATTATCAATATTGTGTTTGTCAAGAAACAATGACAGCTGTCAATAGTGACATTAGTAATATCGTTTGTTGTGTCAACAAATATCATTGGTGACAGTTGTCAAATGTGACATTTAAGAACGTTGACAAAGAGAATATTTCTTTGTGACGATGAAATTGATCATTTTTTCAACCAACAAGAATCTGATTTGCTCTGAATCACCGACGTTTTTTCTTTCTTTTAAAGCTTGAGCTCTGACATTGTATTTTGTATTTGCTTTATATTGCGTTCTCTTTGTACCGTTTTTACTTTTGCTCGACAAGAAAGAAACGAACAAAATAATTCTATAATATGTTTACGTATTTATTTCGATGACTTTGAGAGACGACTGCCTTAGAATGTTATGTAAATAATGTCCAAAACGAAAAAAAAAATGTCATTGAGTTCGTATATATATTTTGTACGTCCGTTCAAATTTTTGCAAAATTTCGCAAAGATGATGATGAAGGAAATTCCATTCAATGTTCAATCAAGAAGGAAATTATGCATCGCGCATGTTCGAATTGGAGGAGAAATAAGAAATGTTTAACAGAAGAGAAATAAATAAACGAAAATGCTAAAGAAAACTGTGGTTTTTTTCTTCAAATTGTGTCCCAATCCTTTTATTCCTTTATTAGTAAACAAAAATTTTGAAATTATTACTAAAAAGTTAAGTTTATTGCAAATTTTAACTGATGAATACAAAAAAAAATATACAAATAGAAATTGTTCTCATAAATTTGATACAAAGATGAACTTTCAAGGAATTCTGCAAGAAATTAATTGCTTTGTTGTGAATTCGGGGAAACAGTGAATATATATAGAAAAGACATTGAATATGAAGGATGATAAGATGTGGGTGAAGTTGGAACCTGACTACGTAAAACTTGATACAAATTCACAAAAAAAGTTACTGTATTTTCATTAAATCATATTTAAAAATAGGAATCGTATCTCTTATTTAGTCGAAGTGAAGAGGAAAATAACAAGCAAGATTAATTCGGAAATGACCCACAAAAGTATACTGATTTATATTCAATATTGATAAAGTA